TTGATTCCACTAAGTTTCCATGTGCATCAGGAAAATGTTCAGGAACCTTTATACAAAATAATTCTAAATTCAGATTTACTGCAAGTGATTCCATTACCAAACAATCAGGGGTATTCAGGAATATTCTTTGAATTCATAGGATTTCAGCCCAATTTAACCAAATGAGGTATTCAGAATCTTTTCCTTCTGCGTTACTTGTGTTTTCAGACATTACCAAAGTGATTTTAGATTGAAATATAGAATCGAAGATTCAAGTCATTTACAATCTATGACTATCGATCGTATTATCAAACAACTCGAGTTACCCAACTCCCAAACTGATGCATGTCAACAAGTCAATTCATTATCCTTCTATTGTATTTACTCTTTAATACCATAATGCAGTTCCATAGATCATCCCCATAATCATCGCTGAATAGATCTTCCAACGGTCTTTATTTCATTTCCACGTTTCAATGATATCAGGAAATACGGACGTACTTGATTCATGGTTCATAACCATAAAGATAATTCATCATGTAAGTTCAACAGTGTTTCTAGACTCATCCAATCACCTATTTAATCTTTAGCCTTTGAGGTTACTTAGTTCGTTTAACAATCAAATCTATCTCGGATACTTCAGAATTTTCCAGATTAATTTAGACGTTTCTAAATTTCATATACATGTTGTATTTCCTTTCAGTTCAATTTAGTCATATACTAGAGTCATTCTTGAATTCGTGGTTGATATATCTTACAAATATCTACTTCTTAGTACCGAATACGTTTTAGAGTTGATATGAACAAAGTACTTCCAGAATTATCATCTATCCAAACTTGAGAAGACGAACACACATTCAAGTGATATCTATTCCATTCAGATATATACATAACATTAGGGTTGATCAACTAACTTAAGTTGTGTTTCATAACTTTTAGGGTAGTAAAACACCCATGTTTGTTTGGATTCCTTAATTAATCCAAGATAATTACTTAATATAGGCCATAAGGGCATTTTGGTCATTTTTGTGCTCAATATTTTCCATTCATTTCAAAGCTTGAGGATATCTATTCATTCATGGGCTTGGATATATTCTTTAGACATTCCCATTACAGGGGTATTTTGGTCATTTTACAGATCCAGTGTATTTCAATCCTTTTCTTCCGTCCAATCTTATTATTAAATTCAAACTTATCATTTATTTTAGTCCTTTTGAACAATTCTGACAAAAGAACACCCTCGATAATTTATTCCTAACTCGGATATTTTCAGGTCAATTGCCTTCTCACAAGATACAAACAGGTTATCAGGAATTTTTTTCTCTGTACAAAGACGGATCTTAACAATTAAATCCGTAATTTATCGAGTTAAATATGAATCCTCAATGTACTTTCTCATTTAGGTTTAACTCAAACTAATTTTACCTCTCAAGGGCATTTTTGTAATTTCTTAACCAGATAATTTCGGTATTAACTCTTAACGAAAATAATTATAATATAGAGATCCTATGGTTAATTTCTTAACCAGTTATCCAAATTTTCTAACCAAAACTATCATTTTTTATGCACATTTGTAGTTTTATCAGATTAATATGTCCTTTCAGAGTTATTAATCAACTTCCAGGGATAATTCTTGTCATTCTACAACATAAGGGTATTTTCATAATTTTACCAAATCAGAGTATTCTCATAATTCCTCATCCAAGCGCCTTAAACATTTAACCTTTGATGATATAAATTAATAATTACATATCCAGGCTAATTCATTTATCACTTAATCACAAAACTTGTAGTTTAATTCCAATTGTCCTCCAATTTCTTATATCACTCATTTGAACAATATTCAGTTACCGAATTTTTACCGCATTCATATCGAGTGTATGAATTTATTATATACCCAAATAAAACCAAACATATTCATTCATGCATTTACCAATACCAACATGTTTCATAAAGCATAAAGAGATAGTAATGTATTACCTTATTTTCCGTGCCATACTGGTCGACCATTTAAATTTCATTTGAACGCCCTCGATCTTTAATTCAACTTCTAATATTTTCCTCACGATCCAGGCCATCAAAATTACTAACTCGTATCTAAATAATTTCCCTTGCCATAAAGATAGCTTATTAGTATTGAAATAATAATTTGAAAACCCAATTATGAGGACTCATGATGTGATTTTCCACTTATTTTTTTATCTCCACCCAATTGATTTCCTGTTGGAATCATAACCCCATTTTCCCCACATTTCAATCTCATTTATTAAGGCAAAGAGTAAATCCATATTAAGAACTCCAAGAGATTCACGAACGTGTTCACGCAAAAACCCTTTTAGCCACATTGTCTTCTGCAACTTTCATCAATTCCTTGCTATTTCTTCAAACGTTCTTGAGTCCTATTCTTCCAGTATTCAGTTGTAACATGTGAATCAATCATAGCACCAGCTACAAAAGGAAGATGCTTTACATAGTCTAATTTGAAGTAATGGCGTTGTATTTCATGGAATCACCACAACACCTTAGGCAAAACATGATGAACATTTTTTTTAGAACAACATCCAGTTATTTCCCAGCAACATCAGTGTTCAAAACAACCATATCAGCTCTTAGAGCAGTATTTAAAGCTTCTTTCCCCTTAGCCGGGAAAACCTGTACTCCTCTGTCCAAGATCTTATGTTCTAAACTATATGTTACTTATCTGTTTCAGATGCTTTTATAATTGTAATCCAATAAACTTCAGCACCAACCCTTCTTAATAGGAATGTCAGCTCCATCAGCAACAGTGGTCCACCAGAAAGCGAGAGCTCGTCCGACACCAGCAGAACAACCTTCGACTTCATAAAACTGAGTGGACTCAGCTTTGTAGCAACGATATACGACGTTCGTGTCTTGGAGGCTTGAATGACATTTTGAGCAGAGCCGATACCATCAACAGCAGCAGAAATGTTCCGATCACATGAATCGAAGGCAGCTCTCATGAAGAAGGCAATAACAGTTGAAAAAGAAAGCATTAGGAGAAGAGCCAAAAGCCAACGGTTCTGTAAGTGATGGTGGTTTTGTAGGTGAATAAAAGGTACATGGAGTGGAGCTCAAGTCGTTGGCCATTGAGAAAATAATTTGGTATAGTTTTTCATGCCAGCTCAAATGTTGATTGTTTGGGGATTTTAAGCTTGAAGATAAGGCTTTGGTGGATACTTGTCAAAAGTGAAAGCTGGAGGCAATGTCATTATCATTAATTTAATCCCATCACAACCAACAATTTGTCCACTTCTACCTACTCTATTATCCTCCATTTGTTTAATAAAATAATGGTCTAATAAAACAATTATTTTCCAACCAATTTCATATTTAATCTAGAAAAAAAAACATAACCCCTAAATTAGGGTGTTACATCAGCTATTAGTTGTCTTCTCTTTCTCATTCTCCTTGTGTAGGTTTATTTGAAGGGACATGTTTGGAGAAGCAGCAAGGTGAATGGGTGGATGAAAATGAGTAGAAGAAGAGTCACAGCTTAGATCTTTTATTTTTCTGAGGCAATACTCTGAGTGTTCTTTCTTTTTTTCTATTTCAACTATTGATATTGTTAATGCTGATCATATTCGTATTATCAATGAGGGTTGGATATTGATATATAATTATATATTATATGTTCAATGTTTTTTTAAAATTTTATTTTCTTATATTTGAGGATTATTCTTTTCTTCAAAATTTAAAGAGACACCCTAAATTAAGATTAGCTATTGTCCAATTTTAAGCTCGAGTTTAATTTCAATTTATTAAATAATTTCAATGATAAAAGAGAATATTATTATTAATCCTACTTAATTAAACCTAAAAGGTGATTTTTTCTAAAAAAAATTATTCAAGTTTATAATTAAATTATTATTGTCTAAATTTGATTAAAGTTATAGTTAGATTTCTATAATGCATTGAAGAATATGATTTGTATCATAATCGAATTTATTTAATGATTACAATTTCATTATCTTTGATATTTATTAAAGAACATGATTCTAACTCTAATTAATATTTAGATATGGAAATGTATTGAGTTGGATTAGGTTTTTGATCAACTCGATCCAATCTTAGAAGCATATTCCGTCATTCGAGTTTGACCTGATTTGAGTTTAAAAAATATCATTTGACTCAAATTTTAAGATAAAAATTTACATTTGACTCGGCTAAACACAATTCGAACATATATATTGTTATTTTCATTCAAGAAAATAAGGATATAATTGAAAAATATAAAAATATTATAGTATTTATCTCTAAATATATAATACAAATATTATAATATTTATCTCTAAATATATATAAAAATTATATTATTATCTAGAAAAATTAAAAAAAATCATCTTATACCTAAAATTGACTCTAACTTAATTTCATCTTAAACCTAAATTTGACTCAACTTAATTTTTTTTAAAATGACTGTATCAAATTAAGTCGGAAATCAACAAAGTCAAATAAAATTACTATCCACCTATTTTAGGATGCTTTTTCTATACGGTAATATAATGTAAAATTGAACAAAAAATATTATAAAAATAACATTTTAAATTACATTTAATCTAAAATATTATAATTTGTAACACATTTGCCGTTGCCCAATATATTACTATTTTTCGACCTTAAATTAGGTTAACATCCGTACACTTTTCTGTCTTACGAAAAAAAAAACAAACAAACTTGAATGATATTAAATATTTTGTTGTTTTTTATTAAAAAAATATCTTACGTGTAACACTGTAGTGAAGAGTCCTATTGTACACGGCGATTTGGCTGAGTTTGTGTAAAGTGAGTGAGTGAGCAATGCATTGATTGTCCAATCGCCGTCAACGCATATCCCTCTCTTATCCCCTCCCCTCTCAATCAATGCCCTTACTATCGCATCACCCTCTTTTCCATCCTACCCTCCTCCCTTATCGCCACCTGTCACTTACACCACTCCTAAAATCACCACACAGCACACATCTTCTGTCCCTCCTTGGCACTAATCTTCCCACTCCCCAAATTGTCCCTTAACAAAACGCACGACATTTCTACGATTCTTCTCCATTTCTCTTCCAAAAACACTACGACTTTATGGAGAATTACCCTTATAATTCTTATCCAGATTCCGGCAACTCGTCGCCGCAGTCGCGGGAGATCGAGTTCGAGAATCCGTCGCCGTGGGAGGATCAATCGCAGCAACAACAAAGTTACAAGGCTAAGTTCATGTGTAGCTATGGTGGAAAGATCCATTCTCGGCCTCATGATAATCAGCTAGCTTACATCGGCGGGGAGACGAAGATCATGGCCGTTGATCGGAACATCAAATTATCCGCCATGATCGCTAAGCTATCCGCTTTATGCGGCGGAGGCGACGTTTCGTTCAAGTATCAACTCCCTGGTGAAGACCTCGACTCACTTATCTCCGTTACTAACGATGATGATATCGAACACATGATGCACGAATACGATCGGCTTTTTCGAGCCTCGGCTAAGCCGTCGAGGATGCGGCTTTTCGTGTTTCCGGCGACCGGTTCCGTGAATTTCGGTAGCGAAGGTTCGAAATTGGACCGCGAACGGTTCGTTGATGCTTTGAATTCTGGTCCGACTTCAGGGGAAGAAAAAACCGCTGCGATCCCGCAAAGCAAAGTGGATTTCTTGTTCGGACTTGAGAAGGGGATGACTCCACCTCCACCGGTTAAAATCCGTGATCCGGTGGCGGAACCAGTGATCCAGTCACCGCCGCCTCCGCCGCCGGTACCGGAAGTCGTGGTGATGGATCATGCTTTGAATCCGAGTGAAATTCAAAGGCAGATACAAGTATTACAGAGGCTCCAAATTCGTGATCAAGAACAGCTTTTTATGTATAGGAAGAAAACTGATGACGTCGTCGCATCTTTGCCTTACACCGGAGAATACTACGCTCAGAAGTTACCAGAAAAACCGCAACCGATGACCGTACAACAGCAAGTGCCGGCGACGGCTGGATTCTGTCCGGAAAAACATATTTCTTCCGGTGGTTTCCCAGCAACCGTAACGGCAGCCCCAGGCCCACCGCCGCCATCGGATCATCATGTTTACATGATCCCAGCACCAGTTCCAGGATCAGCTCCTGCCACCCTCTACCACGTGCCGCCACCCGCTCCCGCTTCCGCACCATCATCAGCACCACCACAAATGGTTCGATCAGTACCCGTACAAGCCGGTCAAGGCTACTACACCAACGTACAAAGAATGCCACATGATGTTTACGGGGAACAACCCGTTTACAACATGGTGGCGCAACAACAACAACCGCCGCCGCCTACTCAACATCAGCCGATGTCAGCCACACCACAACAGGTGACGAGGTCGCCGAGCGGTGGGATACCAGATGCTGCATACACACATATGGCAGCGTACGATAGGCCTATTTACTATACTGCGCCGGGGGCCATCGTGCCACCACAGTATCAAGGCGTCAGCACGGCGGTTAGCGGTGAAAAACGTGGCACCGTTGACAAACGGTAAGGTGGTATATAAAGTTTCACAAGGTTCAGTTTAATTTGAGATTGTATCTATTAGTTTTAATTGGTATAAATCAAAATCTTAGCTCGTAGTTTCGTTGAGTTCTTGTGCTATATGAAATTATGACTACGTGATGATATTTATTACGATGTAAATTATGTCTTTACTTGAAATTATTAATTATCATAAATTAGTTTAAACTTATAAGAATTAGTGTGTTATATCCTCATCTTCAGAAATATTATTTAGGAGTAACAAATTTCTTTTATTAATGAACACAGTCAAATCATTTCAACACAATTTAAAACATATCCTTAATTGCTCACTTCTATTATCGTACAACATTAAAATGATTACCATATGACCAGGATGAAGACAATAACCATTTACTAACTAATTAATAAACTATAAAGCTTGATTATTGTAATCTAACATTATTTATCATTAGACACTCATTTTCATCTATTTCAGTCTAGCAGATAACATTTTCATATAATTGGTATTTTTTAGAGATGGACATGCAACTCAAATTCGACGAGTTTCAATCATATTTTATAGAATTGAAATTTTTTATTAAAAAATGAATCAATTCGGGTCAACTTTTTAAGAACAAAATTTACTCAAAATCGAATTCAATTTGAAAAATATTTGAATTAACCCGAGTTAAATCAAATAATCGTATAATTATCAATTATATATTTAAATTTTAAAGATAATCATAATAAATTAATAATATAACTATATACATATTTTAAAATTAGATCCTATATTATTGAATAAAAATAAGAACTATATATATATTTATATCGAGTTGGAGCAGGTACGGATTTTTACTAAAAAATCGATTCAGATGAAATCCCTTAAATTCATGTCAAAATAGATGACATATAAAAAAGTATACTACTCGGTTTAAGTTTGAACCAACTAAAAACATGATCCAAGCCATTATTATCCTTGGTATTCTCTATCCAAGAAAGATGAGATGCGTGCATACATAAGATTTTATGAAAATTAGATTGCCTTTTAAGGCATGCAATCTTCATAATTATTGAAGATCATCGGTCAATTGACAGACAATTCAACTGCTTTTGTTTGCTCAACCATCTCTCAAAATAAATTCACCTACAGAGAACAGATTATGAAGGGTTAGCTACCTGTCATTCTCAAACGGAAAACACCAAAAATATCTGATAATGAAAGTTTTTCAAAGCAAATTGACAGACAACTCCAACGGCCCTTGAACGCTTGCTACTGTTCGATGGTCACCACCGTCTCAGCCTTACATCAAAGTCCATGTAGATGCAAGTTATAATTTACAAGAGGAAAAACCACGTACATGGGTTATTATAAGAAACGAAGAAGGCATGATTCTTGGATCCTGCTATATGATTAATCACCATGTTACCTCTGTTTTTTTTTTTGGCCGGAACATATGCCATCTTGCAGGGGATATCAGTTTTAGATGTGTGATCATCGAAAGCAACGCAAAGTCGATCATTACCAAACTGACCATTCGACTATAGGTCCATCTGCGACGCAAAGCAACCGACCATTCCACTATTTCAATCTTGCAAATTCAGTTCCATTTTATTTTAATAAAATTCTTAAAAAATAATTTATCATTTCATAATTTATTTTATTATTTAAAAATAAATATAATTTAAATTCTATATTTAACATAATTTATTACTTGATTATTTAATATTAACATCATTAAAAAATAATTTATTACTCAATAATTATTTTAATTATTTATTACTTAATAACTATTTTATATTTTTATTATAATTTAAGTGATATATTTTATATATCATAGTATTAATAAGTATAAATATAATTTAAATTCTATATTTTTAATTTATAACATAATATTTATAATGGACATTTTATCTTTTCAATAATTTTAATTTATAACATAATATTTGTAGACACCCGTTTTTGTCCGGGTTTTTTATCGTTATTTTATTATTATAATTATTATTATTATTTATTATTATATTATTAATATTACATTTTACATATTTTTGCAGGCCAAAGCCCAATACAACAAGGCCCACCCGAAGCCCAATCGGCCCAATCCCGGAGCCCAACAACCCATCAGATTAGGGTTTCAAACCCTAAATCAGATTAGGGTTTCAAACCCTAAAACAAATTAGGGTTTCAAACCCTAATCCCCTACTCAGCCGCCACAGCCGTTTGGCCTCCAGTTTCACAGTCGTTCAAGCTGGCTACTTCCCACCGCCGCCGTCGCTGCTGCCGGTCCATCTCATCGTCGCCGTCATCATTAACAGAGGCCGAACAGTAAAAAAAAAAAAAAAAAAACAAAACAATCAACAGAAACCAAATCAATATCAACTTATCATCTACAGTTCAATCTCAACAAATCTGAAAACCCATTAAAATATGCCTAAATCCCGGTAAATCGGGAAATTGGTCACCCTAAATCAACAACCCATAATTTCCCCTATTCCTAGACCTCATCATCTCAACCAAATGGAGGATTAAAGCACATGCAGTAGAAAAAAGGGGGTCATTCGGTTGAGGTTTGAAAAACAGAAGAAGAAAAAAAATATGAAAAAATAAAAAGAAAAAGGAAAGAAGAGATTACCTTTCGTGATACCTCTGCCGTGGGCTTCGCCGAGACCAAAGCTAGGCCACCGCACCGAAGGTAAACAAAAGGGGTTATCGTTTTTGGTTTAGGGTTGAGTGTTTCAAGGGTTTTGAGCGATTTAAACAGAGGATAGAGGGAGAGTTTAAGGTTTTATTCGTATAACCCCGTGGCCACCGATTCACGGTGGCCGGGGTTTTCTTTTCTCTTTCGGCAACAAGAAAGAGGATTGAGGGTCTTTAGGGGTCGGTTTGCTCCCCATGGCCACCGATACGGTGGCCGGGGAGCCTCTGTTTGGTTGTTGCGGCGAGGGAGAAAGGAGAGTAGAGAAAGGAAAAGGAAAGGAGGCTGAGAGAGGGGTGAAAGTGATTTAGGGTTCGGTTAATAACCCTAAAATGGGATTATATCCCAGTTTCAAAAACGACGCCGTTTAGAGGTTTCCGTGTTTTCATATTAAGGGGTAAACTACTCTTTTAGTCCCTGATTCTTTGTAACCGTGCGATTTAACCATTGAATGAAGTTTCATTTTATTTGACTTTGGGCTTTCATCTTTTCACTGTTACATATTGGTCACTATCCGTGCTTTATGGCATTTTGTCTATATTTGATTCTGGTTTTAATATTTTCAAATATTTCAATTTGATCACTGATTCAATGTATTGTATAATCTTTGTGTTATTCGAATCTGGCCATCACATTTATCAATATTTTATTTTAGTCCTATTAATGCATGTTATGTCGTTTTTGTGGATATTTGATTTTGGTTCCAATGTTTGTAATAGTCTCATTTTAGTCACTAATTTCGTGTGTTGTGTATTTTTGTGGATGTTCGAATTTGGCCATGATATTTATGTTTCTTTTATTTTAGCCACTGTTTGGTATTTGGTATAATTACTGTTTGAATCTTTAAGTTTCTGTTTATTCTAAAATTGACCACTGATTTTGTTCTGTTTTATTGTAGCCATTGATTAATCTAGTTTCTTTATTTTATGTTTCTGATATTGTAGTTTCAATTTACACAGTTTAGTCACTTGTCTATAAAGCTTAGTTATTTTATTTTATTTTGCGTTATGGTTTGCCATGTTTGCATGTTTACATTTTAACCCATGTTATATTATTGTACTCATATTTTACTTTGGCCACAATGTTTGTATTAGTTTCATTTTAGTCATTGATTTTTTATATGTTGTATGTTTTGGCTGATGTTCAAATTTGACCCTACGATTTGTAAATCTGTTCATTTTAGTCACTAGTTTGCATTCGGTTTAATTACTATTTTAGTCCCTACGTTTCTGTTTTTGCCATTTTAGTCTTTTAATTTTCTATTTTTCTGTTTTAGCCCTTTAATTCGTTATTACCATGTTAGTCATTGTAATTATTAAATACTTACTTTTTGACCATTATATTTTGGGTTGTAACATTCTTTTAATCCCCTATGAATGTACATTTTTCATGTTATGTATTTATTTGTACCATATGTAATTAAACATGCTTAATTCTATTTGTTGTAAATATTTATTTCACATATTTTTATTTCTATTTATTTCCATTTTTCTTTATTTTAATATTATCCAAATATATTTTTAAGAACGCGTATGCGTAGAATGGGCGTGGAAAGTATCACTTGATCGAAGTGGTGTGATCCGGTACGGCATTTTAACGACATAGAAACTTGCAACAAGTCGAGTATATTTCACTAATTAATTTGTGCAAATGATGCAATGTGTGTTATTTTAAATAGTAATTCATTTTATTTTATGTAAATGTCAATTTCAAAATTTGCATTTGTATTCAATTCACATTTTAGTTAATCAATTTATTTTGTTGTATGCAAACGTCAATTTTATTTATATTCGATTCACATTTTATCAAGAGAGAAATATTCTTTATGGATGAGAAATAGTCGAGTTAGCTTTCCCGATGGAGGATTGCTAATTTCGAGATTTCTTTTCGAGTTAAAGAATTTTCTCTAATTATTTAATTCGAAGCAAATTAATCAACGTTCGATAAATAGATCATATTTTAACCTTATATTTGATTTATAATTTCCACCATTTACAATGATGTGTAAGCGACACAGTACCAATTTTGGGCGTTGTGGGGGTGTTTACCCTTCCCTGCACGTAACCGACTCCCGAATCCATTTAAATGAATCTTTGGTAACGCAGACCGAATCTTGTCTTAAAAAAAAATGATTTTTTCTTAAAATTGTTTTAAAAGACGTTTTTAGGTATTCGACCTACCTAACCCAAAGGTTGATGGCGACTCTTTTTAATTTTATTCAAATCAATTCAAAATCACCCAATCTTTCCAAATTAAAGTAATAATCGTTTTTTTAATAATATTTAATTGTTTTTTCCTAAAAATGGTTATGACAGCTTGGCGACTCCGCTGGGGACTTTTTTTAGAGAGTCAGGCTGTATGTCGTTTACACATAGTTAACTTATGATCCGTTTATTGAAATTTTTAATTGCTTCATTT